CGGATAGCGATTTTGGTGCGGGGTTTCATCTTAAACAGGTTAATATAGTGTTCGCTTTTAAGGGAAGGACACGTCTTTTGAGCCCCTGTGGTGAGTCTTTTTCGGCAAACCCCCGCGTAGTTTGGTTTTTGGTCTGCAGAACACTAGCTTTGGGACACTTTCTCAAGTCAAAGATACAAATAATAGATCGATTATAGCTACCACTTTTGCGACACGCACCCATTGGGAATTTCTGACCCTACCTCTCAATATAAAGCATGGAAAAGCCTTCGGGTTCTCTTTTGAGCTGTTTTACGTTCGCCGACCTAATACGACACAGCAGCTGGGTGGTATGTGTTACTTACACTTCTGTTATGGTTCCTGTGAATACACTACGAGTTTCCATTCCAGTTAAGCATTTCTGTATATAAACCTGCCGTTACATAATCTTTGCATCCTGGTTTTGATAATCAAATGATCGATCGCATATAGGCGGTCCGATGATTGCAATCGACGGTTGAACTAATCGGTCGAATTGAATCGATGTCACAATAGTTGTAGTTGCAAACAGACTGAAAAGCAGGAGCCGATCAATCGACCACAAAAATCGATTGAAAACGATTGACCAGAAAAGTGGTTTTCGTGAGGTCTCTAACCCTTCGGTTTTTGAGACCTTATAGGTCTAGGGTGGCTCCGAGAGCACACACGACCGAGGCTTTCTGGTGTCTGGAGTGGGTTTTTTTCTTGCAATGTCAGTCGGTCCCACGTATTGTCACTTTTACTACTGGTTTGTTCCTGTCAATATCAATAATCTAAATTACATCACTGGTGGTGACGTTGTAAAGTTGTAGTATAATAGTAAAGTTACCAATGTGTTGTCAGTGGTTGTGTGTCTGTCCCCGTTTGTTCTAATCTATAAAAATATATTTCTTATGTCGATGGGAAAAATGAGACCGAAATGAAAATTGAAAGTAGCACGACAACGAATAACATAATCGAGAACGAGATAAAATTACAACAAGAACGAAAATGACATGAATATATACCGAAATAGTTAAAACATATATAAAATAAGTACTAAAATTCCTTTTTCGTGAGTATATGTCCTGTAGGATCGACTGTTTGTTAACTATCATATTTCTGACCCGTTGTCTGTTATCCAACATTGACGTAGATCCGTTCTGTCTTTAGGTATAATTACCCAAGTTTTTTTATTCCGATTCGTCCCTTGTTTTGAACAATATGGTGGCCTCCGTGTTGGGTAGTGTAGTGTCGGAGTCATTTTTATAGATCAACATAGACATCTCTCTGAGATCCTCTCACGGGTGCTACCGGGATTTACAGGACACTGTTCTATTCGCGGTCTTGTTCCAAGGATCGATCTTTCAGTTAAAAAAGATTTGAAACTGACGTATTTTTTTGGGAACGGGAGTACAGACCATGTCACGGTAAAGCTGATACGGTAGTCGAGTACCTGACCTCGGAATTGTTTGGCGACGTTGTATTTGAGGTTTGTCGTGTCTTGTTTGATTAGTCTCATCATAATCGTGATTTAAGGTCCTTGGGAATATCCCTCCTCGAGTTAAAATGTGTTGAGGTGACCCAGCTGTCACCTCGGTCTCGGTTGGATGTCCGATCCTCTTACCAGGTGTTCTAAAATTTGTCCTCTCGGGGTTTTTATAAATTGTTTTGGTGGAAACTTTACTAACGTGTGGTGTGTTGTGTTCTCCTACGGACTCTTACATCTAGGGGAATTTTGTGTTTTCCTTCTATCCAGTTTCAGTAAATCTATATCTCAGAACGTCACCTCACCTTTGTTGAGGTGAGTTATATATTCCTTTGGCTTCACGACGGTCCACAAGTTTTAGTTCCTATTCCCCGTCACAAATCGTTGACGGTGACATTACACCACATGCCATAATCAGAACTTGGAGACCAAATTGACTAACTCATTACAAGAGATACGTGAAACAACTACTTTTATTAACAAAAATTACGTGGTTACTCGTACTTACTACGAAATAAATATTATTTTTTTGTTGCTTTGTACTTATCGTGAATGATGAATGTACGTGATAATTATACATGCGTCCCTTACGAGCTACGTGAAGTCTACGGTATCACTGGTGTATTTGGATCATTGTTGTCCCTGTTTGCTACCTTTTTCAGTGACCTGAAAAGCAAAATAGGACTGTTTCCGTTTAATGTTTACAAACGTAGGACAGTTACACACAATACAAACAACAGTTATTTTTATGGAAACTCGACGTATAAATACATTACTTTCTACGAGTATTTACTTGTATATAATAATATACCAGATACGAATTGATATGAGTCGAAAAACACAAGTAAAAAGTGTCTTAACTCCACAAGACCTTTACAATGACGGGAGTGTCCTGCTGTGTCTGCAGTTGGGTTCTAATCCTGCCTACACACTGTATACTTTCTCCAATGATCTAAATACAGAACACCTGATTTCACGTAGTACCTTAACCGCACCTCTACTTGACTTATAGACGACACCCTTGAGAGATTAATATATAGAGAAGAACATTTTTCATGGTTTAGTGGTCTTCAGTCTCAGGGATTCATCTCAACGGTAACTTAAACCATTATTGTCAATACGAGAGACTCTACACGTAACCGTAAGAGGCAGAAATGCGTGTATATTTAGAAAATACGACACCGCGGAGACGAGGCAACGTACAAGGGAACACGGTTTCCTAATAAAGTGGACGTTCGTCGGACAAACTGTAACAGTGTATGATATAAGTAGACCACAAACGGGGGTTCCTTCCCTCTAGACCAACGTCCTCCCTCCGGTCTCGATACTTGTACGAGATGGACCCTTTACGGAAGGACCATGTCTCGACGTACCGGAAACCTGAGTAACCGTCTCGGTATCATACAACGTATCGTACTTCCGAACCGCATTATACACCTGACATCATTACTTCCGTAGACTGTAAAAGAAACAGAAATGATAACACGGTTTCAAGACTACGTCAGTCGGACGGGAGAGCGAGGAACACAGTGTCACTGTACGTCGGCACCGGGCAACAACGTCAACATCATAAGCAACGAAGGAGGTCTTAGTTTCCGAGACGAACACGACATCCACAACACTGATACAGACTTCTCCCGTTCCCTACCAGGACATGTCCTTCTCCTATGTCCGTCCTACCAACGACCCAACCAGACACCCTCGACGGTGTCACCCTCGACGGTACCCCGGCTCCTTTTTTTAATCTTTGTAGTATTTCATCAGTAAAACAGAAGAATGGGAGAGAGGAGAGAAGGAAAGAGGGGGAGTAAGTGGAGAGGGAGAGAGGAGTAAGTGGCGAGGGGGAGTAGGGAGAGGGGAATAGGTAGGGGGAGTAAGGGAATAGGTAGTGGGCGAGAGAGGAGGGGAGAATGAGGAGAGAGAAGAGATTCCTTCCAGTCCCACACCTCCTTGGAGTCTACTCCTCGCGCCGACACCCGTCGGCGGGGGTTACTTCCACCCTGTTCCTTTCTTCTGTTGAAGCCATTCTGTTGTTGATTTACTTCTGTGCTTTGGGTCGTTGTCCTGTTGCATCACCCATCTTCTGTTGAGCTTCAATTGGTGGACAGATGGCCTTAAGTTCTCCAGCAAAATGTCTTGATAAACTTGAGAATTCATTTTTCCGTCGATGATGGCAATCTGTCCAGGCCCTGAGGCAGCAAAGCAGCCCCAAACCATGATGCTCCCTCCACCATACTTCACAGTTGGGATGAGGTTTTGATGTTGGTGTGCTGTGCCTTTTTTTCTCCACACATAGCGTTGTGTGTTCCTTCCAAACAACTCAACTTTGGTTTCATCTGTCCACAGAATATTTAGCCAGTAGTGCTGTGGAACATCCAGGTGCTCTTTTGCAAACTTCAAACGTGCAGCAATGTTTTTTCTGGACAGCAGTGGCTTCCTCCATTTTATGACCAACTTATGCAGAAATCCAGGTAATTCCAAAGGGTTCACATACTTTTTCTTGCAACTGTATATATTTTACCAAAACAGTTGTCCTGCAGTGTATGGCTGGACAGCTAAGCATCAGTCTTGGCAGAAGACTGCGTGCAGAATTATGTTTTTTTGTGACTATTTCAGATTTAAAGATACTCTGAGGGGTTTTTGACCCCTAATAGTATACGATGGAGCAATGTTTTAACATTTTGGTTCCCACTTTGTTTATTTTATGCCTGCACACAAAGATGTCATACACATTCTTCTGCCTGTTTCATGTTATTGTGCTGGAAAAACATGCCATGAAACCACAACATCTCCGACCAAGATAAAGAAGAAGCTAGCATAAATGGGATTACATGTATGCTTAACTGCAATGCAAAGTGCATTGATCATTTTTTTTGGTAGTCGACCATACTTTTTTTTCATTATTATATTATTATTATTGTGAGAACCAGAAAATATAAACATAACTTTTTTTAAAGAAATCTTTTTATTTTCCACTTGTTAATAAAGCAAAAAAATGTCCAGACAAACCCCCGAATGTACTGTAGGAAATTTAAAAATGTTTTTTGTATTTGTGTCTGTATTTCATATCACTAATCAGAGCAGACAATGATTTAGCAAAATATGAT